CTGTCCTGGTAATTTGTTCTTTTTACTTAAGAATTGAATGTTTTTGTAATTTTGTTAGTGTTAAAGTGTTGACAGAAACATATTTTGTATGACGTACATCAAAAGATTTTACAGCCTATAATAACAAAAAAAAACACAAAAAAAAAAAACCAATCACTTCTTGTAATTGAAATTTTTTACTTCAACCATTAAATTCTATTTAAATCAAGCCCTTCGTTTGTTTTTTTATGCATTGTTTTTACGTTGTCACGGAGAACACCTGCAATCCTAAAGCTAGCATTTCAGATTGAAATAAAATATAACTTTTAGAATACCTCTGCGAAAGAAAATTACGGAAATGTATGAACTTATATGTAATGTAATTATTTGAATCATTGATACAGAAAATATGTAAAATTAATAGAAGCGAAATAGCCAGAAGCCTGTAGTTCAGTGGCCTTTGGTTCATATTTGTCACATTTGTTTTTCGTAAATTGTAATGTATATATCAAACAGTTAGTTTTCTCGCTTATTTTTATATAGCATGGATATGGTGGCTGCTAAGTCTATTTTCTACATTTTCAATTTTATAATGAGAAATAATGCATTTGATTGGCAGGTGAATGATAAAGAAAATGATAAAAAAAAAGCATGCAATATACCCTATACCTATGCCTGTTGGTCATAGAAAGTAAAAAAACACCCAGCTTATACAAAAATTAAATAAAACTCCTTCATATCAATTTGTCTAAAATGAAATAATTGATCTAAATTATATACATGTATATCGAAGTTAAAAATGTGAGTGGTTATTTATCTATTTACAATGTAAATGGTGCCCTAAAAAGAAAAGTTATTATACGTGTAACTATGCATGGGAAAGTGATTTAATTTTTATGAGGGGTCAAGTACTATTTTGAAAAAGTCTTACTCTATAAAAAAAACTTAAAGGAATCAATAAGATGAGGCTTTGATATAGCCGAATTCTATATTATGGATATATAATATTAAAAACTATAAAAGAGATAGTGATAGTTTGAACAGAAACAATATCGGTTAGACAAATAAGCCAATAAGGTCAAAATCATCCGTCAACACCTACATAGGAGTTATTCAAGTAGATAGATTGAAACCTGTTTAGAAAACCAATTAGCAACACAATATACACAAATATTTCTGATATGAATGAAATTATCAAGCGACTTCCCACGGAGACTGTTGCTCTTAAATCACAATTTTGCATTATATTTGCAGTGTTTGCTATTATCATTCAAACTTTATGGGTTAACAGAAACTGACATAGAAAAAAAATCATCAATACGGGTTACCCACACAGCTTCAATTCAACACAGACATTCTTGTTGTTTTTGATATTTTTTATGAAAAAATGCCAGTTGATCGATACAGGCTCTGTGGTGCCTCTAGTTTGTTTTTGTAAAGAGAATATACAATATGTAGCATTGTGTGAATTCAATTCACTAACCATAGCAAAAGGAAGATAATTGCAACATTGGGAATAACAATTTAAGAATTTAATAACTTGTATCAAAGTTTGCGCAGTTCTGTTTTGTCCAAATAAAATGGCGAAGCAATGAATATATTTTTAGTTTGTTTTCCCCAATGCAGCATTCATACATAGCCGATCATAACTCTCGATTGAGATCTGACAGCGGTATGACACGAAAAGTGAAAAAGTAGAATCATTATCCTCAATCATCTGGAATTTGCTATCATTGTCTGAAAGCAGTCGTATATGTTCGTAACAGAGCCCTACGAGTCGGCAATGGCCAGAAGAGGTCGGTTAAGCAATTCCGACAGTTAGGTGTGTCCCTTAACATTCGGGAATATCAGTAAATTTTTTATAGTCGGATTGCTATATCGTGATAGATTCTTTTATATTGGATAAAAATCATAACAATGTCTTGTATTGTCTGGACGGTGTCTGAACTGTGTCCAGATTGCGTCCAGATCTTGCTGAATGTCTTTTATTTGAGTCGATTCAGTGTCCGGTCACTGTTTGATCTCTTTTGACAGATTTTGTCGTTTTTACCCTACGAACGATACAGATCGGATCAGAATCGGTTTGAAAACGGAATAATCAGGACGAATTCGACTTGCAACGACTGAATCTCGACGCTTCCTGGACATTATCTAATTGCTGTAGAGATTGAATAATAATTTTGCAAAATTTTTAATTTCTAGCCAGAATTTACAGGATTTGATCAGAAGTTTGACACATTCAGAATTTTTACTTGTTTGTAAAAACGATTGAATCTGTCCTGCTGATTCTTCCGAATGCGATCCAACAGAGATCAGACAGTGACCAGACAATGAACCGATGCTGACAGAAGAAATTCTGCAAGTTCTTGGCGCAATCTGGACTCAATCGACAAGAAACGACAATGAAACATTTCTCCAGAGCATGTCTGTTCAATAGAATATAATCCAGATATCACTGAACATTGTAATGATTTGATCCAATGCAGCAGATTCTGTCACGACATATACTCGATTGTCATTCGGTTCAGTCACACATTCAAGATTGTTACTGCCCTCTTTGATAGGACAATTCCCGATTTTTTCAATTTGTCATTAGTAGGATCAAGATCCTGTAATTCGTGGATGGAAATTTGAAAAACAGTTACAGATATTTTCAGGATGCGTCCCGTTATCACTTTTATAATCCGATTCTGATTTAATTTCTATCTTTTGCAAGAAAATCTGCCCCAACAGCGTACCGATTCTCCCGAATGTGAACTGATAGGGATCAGAAGACAGTGACCAAACAGTGAACCGACGTAGGAAGTTATTACGAGTTTGATCCGATACAGCAGAAACAGTGCCGACACAGTAACGATTGTAAACCGACAGGACAAAATCGGCTGATTTTCCCGAATGTTACAAAACGCACCAAACTCTCCGGCTATGCGTGAACACTGCATTAGAATTTTCAATGCCTTGGTAACAGCCATTACTACATGTAGGAAATCCTGTCAATTATAAACGGTTTGATAAAAGGTTTCAGAGAAGATTGAATCGTGAAAGCTTACGGACGATGGATGCCAAAGGATAACAATAGGTAGCATTGTATCATATACCAGGAGGAGAACTAAACATATGGATTGAAGTCCATGAAAAATATCTTTTAATTGTTCATTCATTTCCATGAGATTTTGTTGTAGTACTTACCATCTTCTTCAACAGGAAAAATATATATCATTTTAGCACACAGGAGGTTTGACCTTTTTCGCCAACAATAGTTGTAAACGGGGAAAAACGGACAAAAATATTCTGATTCTGCTTTAAATAAATGTATAAATGTTGTGGATAGTTAATTTCACACTTTGTAAATTATTTGAAAATAAACAAAAGTGTACATAATACGCCTATATCTAAAATCATAAACAAGCTTCAAGTACTCGCTAACTGCGGTTTGTGTTCGAACCGGTCGACATAGCGGCCAACAATATGGTGGTGGTATGACGTAAATATTACACGGAAGTTCTTAAGAATGACATTATAAATTCTCCTACATTCAGGTCCTTGTGCTCCATTAAGGATAAACAATCATATCAAAACCCCGTAAAATATCATCGTTTCATCTCCAACTCTAGTAAGTGTTCTACAACTAATCTTTCTTCGCTTTTAACTAGGACATTAACAAACATCAAAGAACGTATCTTTAACTCTTTTGATAAAACATATAAACAATATTTGAATTAACTATTTTTGGAGAGAGAGAAAAAAAAGGGGATGTTTTAGATAAATTACGTGCATTTGATTTTCCTATCTTAAATAGTTGTTTGAAAAATCTGATTGCAAATTGTTTTGCTGCAACTCATATAAAGCCTTCTTCTGTAGTGAAAAATGGAAATTTGCTAGATTTTTTTAACTGAAAGTGAGATACGTAAATTTCCCCCTTGACAACATCTGTGTACGTTTCCGCAATGAAGCTTATGGACAGTAGGATTTCATATGGGCACCAATTTCGCCCTTTTAATGGTAGACTTGTTCCTGTATTGTAATAAATCAAACTTTTTTTTATGGCTAAACTCAGTAAAGACCCGTCTTAATTCCATTAAATTGACAAATTCAGCAACACTTACCGTTGATGATACTTATTCGTTAAATAATGAAGAATTCTCTAGGTATTCAGCCTAAATTTTCCCAACGGAAATGTAAACAGTTATAACTGTCTTTCCCTAGATTTTGATATTTTCGTTTTACATGGAAAACTATACACAAAAACGTATGACAAAAGGAACGATTATTTGTTCCCTGTTGCTAATTTTTGGACGGTAGTGTTCCTTTGGCGTCATCTTAAGGTGTTTATATATCCTAATTCGCTATGTACGTATCTTTTGTGATGTTTTGGATTTCAATGAACGTAATCTATGTATTACTGGTAAACTTAGAAGACTAAGATTTAATTAACTTTTACTAAATTATTTCATAGATACAAAGAGTATGTTTGGAAGTTTGTTTGTACCTGTAGAAAACTAATTACTTATTACAAATGGGATAGCACACCCTAAGTCTTACGGTGATGTTGTTTATCCAGCACGTAAACTTATATATGATCCGGGTAAATTAATTGTTCCTTTAAAAAACATATCCTTAAAGGATACTTATTTAACACTGCATTTGGATCTTTTAGTTTAGTTTTCATCGGTAGAAATATTGATGTTGTAATAAATAAATCAAAACCTAACTAATTAGTATTGCTATACACCTATTAACATTTACGGTCGCTATGTCCGTATCTGACGTTTTGGATTTCAATGAACGTAATCTATGTACTACTGAATCAAGGATATTGTTACCACAAAACATATCTAGATTCCTCCATAGATACAACGTTTTGGTTTGGAAGTTTGGCTGTACCTGAAGAAAACTTGTCGTTATTGATAAAGGCAAATTATTCAAGCAAGTTTTCTACTATTAATACACATCGGCTTACAAATAGTAAGAAAAAGAAAATTAGTAAGTTGTAAAGTAAAACCTTTTCAAAAGTACAGACACAAGTTTCAGCTTTATGTAATTAATAAATAACACAAAACAAAATACTTATAAACCAAATGATTATTTTAAGGTAATTATTGTCTAATACATATCTTAAAATATATATACAATTAATCTGCTCAAACTAACACTACAAATATAGAGTTTAGTCTAACTTTGTTTTGAATATAATGTTAACGTAAATAAATATATAGCATTTTACTAGTACAATGTTTAGATAGGGATATACAATAAACAAGAGCATATTTTGAAACTGGTTTCTATAAACACTGCAGGGAAAAATCAAAATAAGTTTCAAGTGTTCGGTTTCATTACGGACATGTTTTTACCAGGGAGCAAAAATCACACCGATCTGTTTCTAATCTAAAGCAAAGACCACTTGCGCATGCAGTAATGTAAGGTAAATTCGCTACACAAGTAACAAATCTGTGGCAGGTTGTTGGGTGATGATATCTGTTTTCTATGGTTCCGTTATAATTCTGGTTACAAAAGTCATCTGAAGTTTTAGTAAAACAATATTATAAGATTATTAGGATTAATGTTAATTCAAAAGTAGACAGATTTCTACTATTTGAGAGTAATGCTAGTACAAGATTCGATAAACATATACGTTTATTAACAATGCGAAATATAATCAGATAGCATAATTCGATGATTAACAAAAATAGGCCAAAGGAAACAGATTTAAATCAAAAACGCAAACAGATTACAAACAACTACACAGACAATTAAGGATAAGGTGCTCTTTCGGGTGCTTTGGCAGGATATGATTCAGTCGTGTCTGTTTCACTTTGTTAAGAGCATGTTAATGAGACGGGATGTCATGGGAATAAAATTGAGAATGGAAATGAGGAATCTGTAAAAGAGACAACAACTAGACCAAAGAGCAGAAAAGTGCCCAAGGCCACCAATGGCTCTTCAACACAGCGACAAAATCCCGCACCCGGAGCGGGCTTCAGAAAACCGTTTAATACTATTTTCTGCATTTTGTTGGTGCAGAATATTCAATTTCATTCTGTCTTATGTAAGATGTTTTTCTTCAGTTCTTACCAGGTAAGGATGTTTATTCAAAAAATCCTCCTACCACTAAACCCCCGAAAAATATCAACAATTGGAATATAAATTACATTAAATCCTTATTCTAAATAAAACAGATTATTAATATGTGTCTCACACTTTTCAATCCATATTCATCTTTTTGTCTTTTGTAAACATATTTTAGTTTTAAAAAAATGACATTATTTGTAAACTACAGATCTGAAAACTAAAAAACTATGATCCTTTGTTGATCCCAGTATTAGATTTTGCATTGTTTGGTTTAATTGTGTTTAAAGAAAAATTTATAATAAATGTATGTATTTCCTTCGGAGTTTATAAATGTGCAAACAAGGTTTTTCTTATACTTTTATTTTTGTAAAAAACATTTGATTGTTTATAATGTTTACAAGTTTTATGTGTGTAACAAAAATTCGCGCCTCCGTCATGTTAATATGTACTAGTAGTGCAGTGAACGCTGTCAATAAAACTGTAAAAAACTCACTACTAATCAAAATGAGGATTTTAAATTACTAGTACGCAAAAAGTATAGGGTATTGTTTTATTAACAATTAAAAAAATATCCTTGCACCCAATTTATTAAAAAAAAAAAAAAAAATGTAACAGCGTTATTTTTGCTACTCATTCAAGATTCGGTAAGGCCTAAACGATTTTAACCAGATTGTCTCCTTTGCTTGTTTTATTTTATCTTGGTGCAACATACAACTTATCCCCTATAAATTTCTACTTACTGGAAACCAGGTAAAGAGTTTCACTGTTAGAATAGATAGGAGATACATCCGGATAAAGGCCATTTGTTACTCTACATCTAATGGTTGCATTGTACATAGCCACAGTGAATCCAATCCAAAACTTGAGGACTCTTTTAATTCCACAGTTTTCTGTTGTGTCTGTTAAGGTTGTATATATAGGAATGATTGTTTGATAATTATCGTTTCCTGCCAACTTTATTTGAACTTTTATGTCACCCGTTAAATTGCCAATAAAACCAGTGCAAATATGTAGATTTGAAGCTCTTGGGGAAGTCAGACCAACAACTTGATCAGAATGTATTGTCATATCAACTTTGTTCTGCTGCAAAAGGAATTAATAAATTAATTTTAAGAACTTTAGAATACTTATATGGCCTTAACAGTTTTCACCACACCCTTTTTCCATTGCTGTTAAATTTTACAAATCAACGTATGAAAAGGTTTTAAATAATCTCATTATAAATACAAGGATTAAATATATTTTTTTCTAATTACATTGCATAACAACCTTAGTTGATAAATTATGAATTGCAGTTCTATATATACCAGTATCCTTGTCTGATCTATAATTTTACCGTTTGTGACATTTTGACTGAGTGTAAAGTGGGATGGCGGGTGATGTATGCATAGCTGGAGACGCTCACCTTGTAGACGCACCCGGTTTTGCTCCGTTTTGAGTTCATGCCGTTCAGGCGTTCTCTTCAGTTCTTGTTGGTTACCTGAACTTGTTTTGTTCTTATCGATTTCCGAGATTTGATCACTATTGTCTTAGTAAAGACTTTTTCATATTCAATTTCCAGTAAGAAATGACAATGTTTTTGACATTTTGAGTGTAACAAAATTAAGCTAAGGGGAATTGGCCATACTCCTAACCATAGGGAAAACACCTGCTTTTTGAGAGCTTGTTTCTACATGTTATCTTGGAAATGTATAATCAACATAGATTTGGCACATTCATTGTTTCGTAACATCTGCTTAAATGCTTTAGCTTGGTTGGAGTTACAAACTATTTACTAATGATACCTGTTTAAAAAGTGTGTACTTTTCACATATGATCTGATTCTATCATGTTTAATTTGCATATTACCTGCTGAACAACTGTCGTATTGGTACAGGAGATACCTTTAAAAAGAAACGAAATTTTCTATCATTATGCATGAATATTTTTCTCATGATTTTGGAAAACCAAACATTAATAAAACATCGTTTTTTTCAAATACATTGATATTATATTCTATTATATAAATCAGTTAGTAGATTTTTTGGGGTCTTATTAGTTCTGAAGGAGGTAAAATAAAAGTAATATATCAATCGGAATAGTTTCACTATTTCTTTCCGTTTCCATATATAACCAATCAGAATTCTAAAATACAGGATATTAACAAGACTTTTCATTAACATGCCAAAGATTAAAATATTATTTTACAAAGCATAAAACTAGCTTTCAGTAACTGTGCGAAATCGTATGTCTTTTGGTGGTTTTAGTGCCGATCTAATTTATCAAGCCATTTCAAACTGATCTTTATAAACCGTACTTATATTGTGCTGTTTCATCACTTACAAAGGTTAGAATAGAGTTCAGCGTTCGAAAACATGCTTAACATTGTAAGATTTGTTTGGACGGTTCCAAGTCGGGAGTCTATAATTCAGTGGTTGACATTGGTTGATATATACCGTATTTGTTCAATGTTATTTGTGTTTGCATAAATCAGGTCGTTGGCGTTCTACTTTACACTTTATTTTTATCAGTGTCTTATGCGGTAAAGATTTTTGTCTATTGTTGCAGGCCAAACGATGACATATAGTTTCTCTCATCTACGTCATTTGGTCTCTGCATAGCGGATAAGTATCTCCTTGTTAATTATACGAAATCCACTTTTTATATAGCTAATAAAATTACAGGTATTATTGTTACTGCAGCAGATGCGAACTTCTACAATTAATTTTTCTTCACTGATGCTCAAAACGAAATAATTTGAAAGTATATCAAAAAGAAATAGTCGAAATTTTACATTGTTCACATTGAATTTGAATGCTTGTTTTGACATCTATCTTTAATGGAAATTTGTAAAGCTTCAACGTTTTTAAAGTAATCTAAACTTTATAAAAGTCTTGTTTGTTTATTGTACTGTTGATGTCTATTGTCTTATTCATCCTGATGGTTTGACACATTCTACATGCTATTTGAATATAATTTGTTGTTCTTTGCAAAAGAATTTGGCTTTTCTTGCATTTCGGAAATATTTGATTTTACTTTGAAAACAATCTGCAACATAAATGTGCGCTATCAAATGAAATCATCTAAAAATGAGTTGAAAGTGGTCTAACATAATGTGTTGTGTCTCTATTCATCACCACATCTTAAAGTCGTTTTTCTTTTAGCGGACACTTTCTTACTTGTTGCTGGACATGTAACATCATTGCAAGGACTGCACGTTTCTACTGTATATATTCCAAAACAAAAGTTGTACTGACATGCTCGACCATAAGGTTCTTTATTCTGGCACTCAATATAATAATGGCAGTTTGAAGGATGCACACGGTTGCTTTGAGAGACACTGTTTTCCTTACACGCATCACCTGGAAAAAATTTTCTGTTGTAAATATACATAAACTACATCATAATATGATTTTATCAAATAGTGAATTCTTTTCTAACATTGCGTGATGAACTAATGTTCTATTTAAAGAAAGACAATTCGAATTGTTTAAGAGGCGGGCATGCATTTAGATTAATTTCTATCGCTTCAACATAAGGTTAAACAACTAGCATGTCCAATACCGATGACGTTAATTTGCTGACATTTAACACAGCATTAGTCAAGATAAAAAAAAACAAAGTTTCATCCATTCGATAGAAGATACGCCATTGCAGCTTGTTGCCTCTGTTTACGCCCCTCTCACATTTGGACATATGATGCATAAGCTACAATTTCGTAATTGTATTTTTGTATTAAAGGGCATAAAAAGATAAAGTCTTTTATTACGAGTTGAAATAAACAAAAAACTTATGCAATCCCGTGTGAAATTTTCGATTGACTTTTCTGTTTCATTTCCGTCCATCACAAGTTGCAAGAACGATGACTTGGTAATAAGAAAGGTTATAGGTCTGATCTATTCTTTCTTAGTATTTTACATTTGCTATATAAAATGAATAACGTTATAATTATGTATACTTATCAGAAATTTCATTGACCGATAAAATTGCATCGTCACAAAAGATTGGCTCAATGTTTGTCCTTTTTAGGTAGGACGTTATTAATCATAAATTCATAAGAAAACGTTCTGTTGAATAGTTACAAAAAAAGTAAATTGTAATAGAAAAAAATTTCCATAAAAGCAAAATGTGGAACATTCCGAAAGTTGGTGAATGGAAAAAGCTTTAGATTTTGCATGTACATTATTTTTCAAAATCTTAAAAGCAATATGCAGAAAAGATTAACATGTTATTAAATGTCAGTTTCAGAACCTTTTAAAAACAATCATCTCGATAAATAACGACTATAAGACATTATGTATTTGCATGCATATTTTAAAATGACATAGTTTAAAAGACAGTATCATTAACCTATATTATTGTGGATTAGAAATAACTTTAAATCAGAATGGTTACCTGCGTAAACAAACTATTGATTGTTCTGTTATGAAAAGAAGACATAAAAAATAAATAGCAAAACGTCAAAAGAGAAAAAGACACTTAGAACCAGCAACACTAAGTAACAACCCAAGAGTGCTGGCAGTTACTGAAAACTAGTTTAAACCCCATGTCATCTAACAAATATTTCAGGTTACCCAAACATAAATATCAATCGAAACATCCAACGGCTATAGTGTGGAGAATCATAAGCTGTCTGAGAATAGCATGCCATTGTGCAATGTCAAAATATGACTTTCGACAACATGTAGGACATTATACAATTATGGCCCGTTGAAAAGGTGAATATCCGAAATTGTCAACACGAGAAGGTTATTTCACTGAGGGCGCAGCCCGAAGTGAAATAACTTTTAAGGGTTGACAATTTTGGATATTCATCGCTTCTAAGGGGCCACAATTGTTTTATTATACCGAACTAACAGTGGAAGGGCATTTTGAATCATTGTAAAAGCACTTACCCTTACTTGAGTCAGTAACAAACACAAGTTGACGTTCAAAAATACATGTAATTTGTGTCTTAGAATTCTCGTATGTACAACAAAGGTAGATTCTTTTTGTAAACTATTGATGGCCCTGAAAAGGACCGTTATTAGAGATATCATCGGCACAAGATGCATGTCAAAAGCCTTATTTCCTCTTCTCTCGATCAATGGGCTTCCTGTAACTTGAACGTTGCCATTTTGTTTATTTACGTCTGTGACGTCATTTTCATGAGTACAAATCAACAAACTAAAAAAGTTATTCGCCGGTGAATAATAGGGTTATTCAACGCTGGTGTAAATTTTTAGGGTTATTCGTTCTTCCTTGCATTGAATGAAAATTAACTGAATTATTCCATGTCACGTGATAACGTTTTACCCAATAGAATTGTTTGAAATATATGTAAGGTATAATAATAAGTGTTAATGTCTGGATACACGCAGCAATACAAGTATTGTTTTCTACTAAACAATGCAAAATAATATCAATGTTAGTACCAATAAAGGACAATATTCAAATAACTAACTAAAAACTAAACTGATAACCTTTAAATTTATTCACATGAACGCAACGTTTTTTTTAATAAAGAGTAAAATAAAAACAGTAATTGGTAAGATTAAGGATAATGATCTATTAAGTTCAATTTGATCAGAAATGATAAAGCACGATCGCATGAACAGTCAAAACAATGGAAAGAAGAGTAAACCACTGAAAAAGTTATCCAATAACTTTGCATAACCTTGCAAAATAACCTCATTTTCATGTTTTTGGTAATTTTCATCATCAGTATTTGTATTTCATTTTGATAGTCTTCATACGATATTTACCTGGTATAAGAAAAACTGTTTCATTATTTGAATAAAATGCTGGAGAATCTGGGAAGTATTTATTAATTACTGAACATCTGGTGATAGCCTTCTCCATGTCAGATGTAAATACTATTCTGAAATTAACTTTTCTATGAATTTCGCATGATGTCTTGTTGTCCTCTGTGCTCTCAATAATTACGTCTAATTTTCTGAACTCCAGCTCTCCTGACTTCAAAATTGCAATGCTCAGGTTTCCTGCTGGGTAACCAACGTCGGCTTCGCAACTATGCAACAACAAATTTCTGCTAACTTCAAGGTCAGCTATTTGATCAGGATTAAGTTGCAAAATCGTTTTACCAGTAGGCGAACCTAAATGCAAATGAAAGAAAGATTTTGTTTACAATTACATTGCGAATTAAACCAATATAAACATCTTATTCGAATTAAGTCCGCTTCATAAATATTTCACACCCTTTATCGTATTGGATTAATACAAAAACGGATATATTATCCATCTAAAAATGTGGGACGATACCAAGGGGAATAAAAGACCGTAAGTTGAAGAACAGATACAGAACATGTTGTCGAAAGAAAAAACAAACTGACTAATTAACAGCAGTTTTAAAAAACCAACCACTGGAAATAAACTCATTCAGATACCAGGCTTAAAATTTGTGTAAACCAGACACGCGTTTCGTCTACAAAATAATCATCGGTGACCTTCGAATCAAAAAGAGTTAAAAAAGTCAAATAAGTATGAAATTGAAAAGCAATGAAGAAAAAAATTCAGTAAGGTTTTGCCAAATACAGTTAAGGTAATCTATTCCTTAGGTAGAACATACTTAGAATTTCGAAAAAAATCAACAATTTTTTTTATAATTATGACCATATCGAGGATAATGCATGTAAACATAGAAGTGGTGACAACTGAGCTAATGATACCCTCGGGGACGAAACCTCTACCAGCAGTGGCATCTACCCAGTGGTTGTAAATAAACTCATCATAGATAGCAGGCTTAAAAAGTTTGTACACAAGACGCACGTTTCGTCTACAAAAGACCCATCAGTAACGCTCAAATCAAAGGAGTTGAAGGTTAAAGTTGAAAAGCATTAATAACCAAAAATTCCGAAAAATTTTGCCAAATACATATAAGGTAATTTATTGCTGGTGTAGAAAATTATTAGTTTCCGTACTTACAGTAGGATTCCATAGTTGGTGCTTGTGATGAGCTACTCTCTGAAAGGAAAGTTATAAGATCTTTGTATAAACAAAATATAATGTTCCTCGGATTATCAAAACTCTGTATCATTCCATGGGAAACAAAACACACTAGAAACAATAGTCCAAAATGTGAGTATTTACTTATATTTAACTTACATGATTGAATGAATGAGTGTGGGATGAAATAAACATATTTAGACGACTGCGTTCACTTGTACGATATTACAAGAACTATATTTCGTAACGAGCCCTGATATTCCATATTTTATTTTTATTATTTAAATTGAATAACTAGAGTTGATATCAAACGATATTTAATTCTCACGAGTGGTATAACGTATTATTCTATAGGAAAAAACATCGCTTAGTTTGAAAACAAATTATTCCGCGAAAAGTAGTTTTTGTCTTTAGGACATGAAAAGTTTAAAGTCATAGGTTTAATTCCGGTATGAAACATCAAAACATTAGACATAAGCTTCAGAAAGCAAGCAGCAACCTTGGTGTCTGAGTAGTCTAAGCAGTTCGACAACTGTTTCACAAGCATGTCAATACTGAGGTTGTGAACCCCAATCTAAGATTCTCAGTTTTCTTGAGAAGGTTGGTAGTTCTCTCCGGTAATTTCAACTTCCCCCACCAATAAAAACTTGCTGCCTAGAAATAACCAATAAGTCAAAAGGTTGTGATAAACACCAAAAACCAATCTAACAATCAACCAGAACGTTATCAATTTGTTGACAATAAGAATATTTCCTAGGCGAAAAATGTAGGTGTTTTGTATATTATTGAATAAATCACATATATCCGTTTTACTGAAGAAAACATGTTTGTTATTTTTTTGCATGTCAACATGTTTGGCTCTAGATATACAACGTACCTTTTGCTGATGATAAAACCTGATCGGTTGATGTTGTAAGCGTAGAAGGTGGATTTGTAAAGGTATCTGTTGACGCTTCTGTACTGAGTATTGGTGTTCCAAAAGTAACTGATACAGTCGTTGACGTATGCTGGGTATTGTTTGATGTACTAGTTTTATCGTCTGAAATATAACATAAATAGCACTTACTTATTTTTGTTTCTTTTTGGTTATAACTGATGTGTTTTAACTGCTTTATATATGATAGTTCGTTCTTATTTTGTGCTTTTCCACCACTATCTCTAGATTAGGGAGAGAATTAGGCGCCCGCATATATAGGCGTTTTTTAAAAAAAAAATCTACTTTTTATGTCTAGGGCTTAAATTGTAATAAAATCATATAATTGTTTTTTTGTCTCAGACTATAAATTGTACTTATTAAAGGCAACGGCAACACTTTTTGTCTGGTTTGTGGTAAGGACTTTCTGAAAATATGCGACCAAAGGGCACAACAACAGCAAAAACGATCTGTCAACATTTGAAAGTTTATTCAAACTTTCAAAATTTCATACAATTTACCAATTATTTTGGCGCCTTTTTCAATGTTAGAGCTTCATTTGAACCTTACAAAAAGTATTCAAATATTTAGATAAGCTCAAATATATTTGTACTTGTAACCTTTTAAGTGGCGTCCATGAAAAAATGTCCACTTCGCAAAGACAACAAACAATTGGCAAAATTATAATCATTCTCTTAGTAAAATGGTAGACTTTCCTTTTACCTGCCACTAATACACCTTCACTTAGTAAAATGGCGGTCATTTATGGATGCTGATGATAAAATTCGTCTGCATTAAATCAATTTGTAAGTCCTATTGATAGCGTACTTGTTAACTTGTCTACTTTGCAACGTCTTTTTATTTAAAGAAATGTTGGCCTCAAATCATATAAAACGTGGAGTTAATGAAATAAAATGTATTGTTGAAGACGATAATCATAAAAACATGTAAAAATATGTATCTGAGAAACCTTGTGTAACAACAAATTCATGGCTGCTAACATGTAAATGGTTATAGTCCGTAGCGCAGTTGACGTTTTTACATGTTAGCAGTCATTGTGGTTACACGCGGTTTCTCAGACACATGTTTTATGGTCATTATTTTAGACAATACATTTTATTTCATAAACACCACGTTTTTTTATGATTTGAGGTCAACATTTCTTTAAAAAATAAAAGACGTAGTGGACAAAGAGTGTTTCATATATGGGACATATATCATTACACAGTGGACAATTGTAAATATTTCTGGTAGTTAAAATTGCAAATCAAATAGTTACACCGTATATAAGCATTTGTTTTGTCAGATTCTTGAAGAAAAAATACCTTTAAATTCTAATTTCTAGCATGGTAGAGCCTTATAAAATCGTTGTGAAGGGGACTCCTTGGTAAATCATGTTCACTTTTACAGAGTTGTTGTCAAGCTTACCGTTCAATTTAAGGTTTCATATTTTGTATTTAGCTTATACTAGTGTTAGAGTATTGACATGTACAATTAAATCACTTATTTCTCAGCATTATATTTTTTTTTATTTGCCAGTTGTCAAACATGGACATTTTTTGAAAAAAAGGCCTATATGTTAAACCCCGCCACATTCTATATGTGCCTATCTACAGTCAGGAGTCTGCGATTGAGTGGTTGTCAGTTGTTGCTGTTTATCATTATTCTTTTTTGTTTATTGTTTTGTACAGTCTGTTCTTGTGATGTTCTGTTGCACAACTGTTCCAGGTATAAAGTGAGGGTTAGACGTCAACTAACATCACCACATTCTTTTTGTGCATGTCGAATGTCAAGAGCCTGTAATTCAGTAGTTGTCATTTGTTGCAGTATATCATATTTGTTTTTTGTTAATTGTTTTGTACATAAATCAGGCCCTTAGTTTTTTCAATCAAATTGTTTTACAGTTGTAATTTCGTGGCTTTTTATATCTTACTTAACGGTAAGGAGTTTACTGATTGCTGAAGGCCGTGTGGTGACCTATATTTGCAAATTTCTACATTTGGTCTCTGGTGGAGAATTGTCTCATTGGCAATCATACCACATCTTCGTTTTTTTCTATGAAAGAAAGTCTTAAGTCATATATTGAAAGGAAATGTAGTACATGTATTTATTAAAAAACGTATGATGTCCCTTCGATGGACATTACACATTGACAAGGTGTAATTACGGATTGAACAAGAATTTTGATTAACAAATTTGTATACTTTATATGGTAGTTGAGACGTATCTTTTATAATTCTACTGGTTAAAATTAAAACAGAAGCGGGTTGAGATTTCAACACTAAAGTGAAGTAAAGTGGCACTCAAGCCCCTAATCTGTAACTTTGTTAATGTTTGAATTTTTTAACTTAATTTGTTGTTTTACGAAAATTTGTGGTAATGAAATAGTGGTTATAGTCTTTGTTCTTTAATTAGCTCCTCGAAATAATTTATGGACCTTCTGCATATCGTTGAACGCCGTTTATTGACCAACTTTGTCTTTAAGGTTTTTGTATTGGCGACATGCCGTCTCATTGACGTATATACCAAATATCCTTTTATTCATATTTTTTTCAAATATTTTTTTAGACTGTATATTACACTACAAACCAGTAAAAGTCTGAAATTGCCTATATCTGTACTCGACTGTACTGATTTTTACTCGACCAGTCTGAATTTGTCTGAAATTTACTTGATAATACTCGACTGTAGTCTGAACCATACTTAACAGTCTGAACTTGTACTCGACCCTTACTCAACCAGTACTTAACCATTTTATACGCGTCTGAACCATGTTCGACTTAGTCTGAACCATGCTCGACCTAGTCTGAACCATACTCGACCTAGTCTGAACCATACTCGACCAAGTCTGAATCATACTCGACCAAGTCTTAACCAACCTAGACCTATTTTTTGTATCTATCTATTGTATTTCATCAATTTAGGAACTGCTTTTAACAGCTATTTCCCCTGGCTAGAAATTTGAACAATTTGAAATTAAAAATGTATTCAATATAGCATTGAAACCAAAATTTCACAATAAACATAATATAACTTCATCACCATATTCATCAACACTAATCTTATATACATACATATATATCACCTTTAAAATAAAAGTAAAACAAGCTGATCAAATAATCTCAAAACTGAATTGTGACTAATATTTTCAATGTTATTCAAAATTTTTTGAATGTTTCAGATATATTTTATGGTTACTGGACAAGTTTCACCATTAACTTAAGCCTCCTTAGATTTATGGTGCCACTTGAGTTTAATTAATAATGCAGTGAACATTTTTTTATTAAAATATGTATAAAATAGCATATAAAGCAAGTTAATAAATTTTAAAAATGACACCTTTTTTAGCTCACCTGGCCTAAAGGGCCAAGTGAGCTTTTCTCATCACTTGGCGTCCGTCGTCCGTCGTCCTGCGTCCGTCGTCCTGCGTCCTGCATCCTGCGTCCGTCGTCCGTAAACTTTTACAAAAATCTTCTCCTCTGAAACTACTGGGCCAAATTTGACCAAACTTGGCCACAATCATCATTGGGGTATCTAGTTTAAAAAATGTGTCCGGTGACCCGGCAAACCAACCAAGATGGCCGCCATGGCTAAAAATAGAACATAGGGGTAAAATGTAGATTTTTGCTTATATCTCTGAAACCAAAGCATTTAGAGCAAATCTGACTTGGGGTAAGATTGTTTATCAGGTCAAAAGCTATCTGCCCTGAAATTTTCAGATGAATTTGACAACCCGTTGTTTGGTTGCTGCCCCTGAATTGGTAATTTTAAGGAAATTTTGCTATTTTTGGTTATTATCTTGAATATTATTATAGATAGAGATAAACTGTAAACAGCAATAACGTACAGCAAAGTAAGATCTACAAATAAGTTAACATAACCAAAATTGTCCATTGACCCCTTAAGGAGTAATTGCCCTTTATAGTCAATTTTTTACAATTTTCATAAATTTTGTAAATTTTTGTAAATTTTTACAAAATATTTTCCACTGTAACTACTGGGCCAAGTTCTTTTTAGATAGAGATAATTGTAAGCAGCAAAAATGTTCAGTAAAGTAAGATCTACAAACACTTCACCATCACCAAAACACAATTTTGTCATGAATCCATTTGTGTCCTTTGTTTAATATGCAAATAGACCAAGATGAGCGACACAGGCTCTTTAGAGCCTCTAGTTTTGTTAAACCAAGAATTTAATATAATCATGATAATAGAACTTCCATAGTAATCCTGTGATAAACTTTTAAAAAAGGAAATGTGTTCCAAAGTTACAGTAAAAATTTATTTCAATTAAATTTAAATAATTTTTGTCAAAATTAAAGACATGGCATACAAGAAGCACTTTAATAAGGTTTAGCTACCTCAGTACATGTGTGTTTTACAGGTAAAAAGAAAGCCCTATTTTTCTTAAACTCGTGTATTACTTATCTAGTGAATTCAAAAGGCCTTACGATTTAAGTTTCACAGGATGTTACAATTTTGAATGAATGTTATTTAGAATTTAATACTCTCTGACCAGGTGTGATCTTTTTCATGAGTTTGCCCCAAACAGGAGGTATTACTTTATACTTCACCACTAATCAGAAGAACAATTTTATTAATTTCTTTAATATTTATCCCTTTTTGATTTATATTGTATATAATATATCACAAATTATAATAATAGATATATTTCTAAAATAAGGTTAAACAATTTCAGTGATTTAGTTGGCTGTTGTTACCTCATTAAAAAGATAATTATATAACTATTGTACATGTTTTGTATGTAACCATGAAACCTATGTAGTTTTTATTTAGGAATTTAGGAAAATTAATTTAAAAAAAAAACACATGCCAAACAAGGAGCACCTTAATAAGGTTTAATTACCCTCAGTATAGGTGTAGTTTTTAGGTAAAAGAAAATCTTTTTTTAAAAAAACTCTAAAACTTTAAAATTAATATAATTAAATTATTATATAAGATAATTTGATTTAACTATCTCTGTTTGATAAATCTGATGTAAGAATGTAAAAATCTGTTTTTATAATATATCTTTATTTTATTGTGGCTGTTGTCATGTCAGTTAAAAAGAAATTTATTTTAACAGTTAAAATTTAGAAAAAGTAGAGGTTATTTGGTCAAGTATGTTTCAGACTGGTCGAGTATTGTTCAGACCTTTGGTCGAGTATGGTTTAGACTGAAAAAAATAGGTCGAGAATGGGTTAAGACTGTTTCAGACTGGTCGAGTAATAGTTCAGACTATTTTCAATGGCAAAAAAAAGGGTCAAGTACAAATCAGTACAGTCGAGTATAGTTAAGACTAGGGTCGAGTAATGTCGAGTAAAATTCAGACCAATTCAGACTGGTCGAGTAAAAATCAGTACAGTCGAGTACAGATATAGGCCATTTCAGACTTTTACTGGTTTGTAGTGTTAGCAAAATGTCCTCTTTTTTCTAGAGAAGTAGCTACTTGAGACGTCACTTTTTAACGTTCAAAGGCGAATGATGAATAGAAAATGTATAGAAGCATAACATGTGTTCGTATATCAACAAAATGTACTAGTTAAAGTTACATACTTGCTTATTCGTGTGAAATATTTGGATATTTAAAAAGATAATTAAGCATTCAGTAAGCTGTAACCGAATAGTTACATATGATATTCAAAAGCATTAAAATGTCCAATTTGCAACGTATACGAGGTAACAATATTAATATAACTTACAGATTTGTTTAATTTTAACAAGCCTAATATTACCCATATAATCCAGAATGTGTTTCATACCATGGGATGCGCACATGTACGTCTACTTATTTGAATTCATTACTTTGCTTTTAAATTGTTGAGTTTGAACGTTCTCGATGAAGATGGATCTAGTAGGGTATTTCAGACGCACGATTTTTTGTGTTTTTTTTCCAATTTATTAACAATGTATCAAAATGAAAATCACGAGTCGCCAATTATTTGTCTCTTTACGTACACAGATATTTTTTTATGAATTTTATAACGACTCATTTTAAATTCACCAGTAACCATTGGGAAACCTAACTAGAATTCTACTGAATTTAAGTTTGTATGATTAAAATAATAATTAGAACAGTTTTTTGTTCATTAAAAATTTACTGAACTTGAAATGAATTTACTTGATATAAAGCAGAACATATTTCTGTAGGTAAAAACCTTATCAGTACACGTTTGAGATCTGGATACGAACTAACAATTTAAAATAAACAAACTTTCATTGATATTTCTGAGGAATAAGAAATAAGCTGCACAGCCAAGGCCAATCAGGAGTGTTGTTATTATCGTAACAAGAATAACCATTCTGCAGGCCGAACAAGGAGAATTTCTAGATGGTTTATTTGTTTCTTTGTCTTGCGTTTGGCAGTAGTCGTCTGATGGTCTTAGTACCTATAATAAAAGCCTGTGTTATTTCAAATATATCAAAATATAAATGAAATTCAACGATAAATAACATCTAGACAAGATCTAAAAACGCAAACATCATTCAAAGATGACCAGAGATAATATATAGCTTGAATAGGACCCTGTGAAAGAAATCCAAAATGAGAGCCAAAAAGTCATATTGTCATGAAATTTCAAAATGGCCATAATTTGGATGTTAAATGAATCTATTTTAAAAGCCTTAATCCTAGGTTAAACAAATTTCGTCATAAGAAAAGTTGCCAATGATGATATTGAATCCGTAGAAACCAAAACTGGATAACGAGTGACGGCCAAAGTAAATTATTCTAAAAACTGCTAATTATTATTGAAAATTTTACCAAAACTGACGTTTCAACAAAACATAATGCATACTTGAGGAGTCATTACTTCATTATGTTTTAATGCGATGTGCTAAAAAAAACCCTATTTCTATATAAAAGTTAGTGGGGTTTGGCCTGATGAAAATCATAGGGTCAATTATAACCCCTCGTGTACTTACTCTTTTAAGCGATAGAAAGCTATGGAAGCCGTCTAGGATAGGCATTAACAATTCAAACGCCGACTATTTGATTCGTAAAGGTAAAAAAGCTAAAGAGAAAAAACTACATCTACAAATGACGTATGGTTATACTTCATAGCGAGAAAAAACTCAAGCGGCGGAAAAAACAAGTAATTTTTAACAAAAGATAGTCAGCTGTCTTGTTGTTGTATCATTTTCGCTGGTAAGCAAATAAAAAAAACAATTTTAGCTTAATAGTGGATTTTTTTATGAGTAGACAGGGCGGATCAAGCCATTTTTTAAAGGGGGTTCCAACCATATGCCTCCATATAAAAGCATTGGTCGTCAAAAAAAGGGGGGTTCTAACCCCCGGACCCCCCTCGATCCGCCACTGGTAGAGAACAAAAAGAAAAAAAAACATCTTAGTCATTTCTAACGTCAGAACAAACAATATTTAAATAATTCGATAACTATCCTTAGAACAACACAACATGAATAACCATAAATACATACTTTGATAAATCAGACAATCGCATAATTTCTAGCAACTTGTAAAACATGTTTCGTGCTAATCTTCTTGAGTCTTACCATCTAACCAGTTGTCAATGTTTCAGTTTAGACACCATTTCAATGACTCGTTCGTAATTTTTAATATCGTAAATTCTCTCCTTAAGTGAAAACAATTCTTAAACGATATTTATTGTTAAGGTTACCCATCGGAGACAGAAGATAGAAAATAAGGCATATTTAGATTACCATACGGGCTTCAACAATAAACAAAACTAAAACCAATTAGTAAGCTATAAAAGGCCCCGATATGGCAAGCCGTTGTGAAATTTATTCTCTATTTTTTTATATTACAAATTAATTTTTAATATGAATAAATATGTTTTATTTCACAATTAACAAAAAAAAGTTTCTGATATCAAAAATTCCACTTATTAATATTAAAGAATAAGAGTTGTTTGAGCGCTTTTATATATGATTAACATACGTTACTGCAAGCTTGTAGCTGAAACATATCAGGGAAAAAATAACAAACTCTGGAATAGCGACTTTACAAACGACTTCCTACTGATCAATTAATTTTATCTTGCAATCAGTTAATTGTATACAAATACTTTTTTGTTTTGTTTGTACTTGTACAAAGTATCCTATTACTCCACTTTCATATTGAGCAAACTGTAATGTGAATATTCCTATTTGTGTGACAGTTCAATTTGAGGTCCTCGCCGTCTGCGTTTAAACTATATAGATTTCTTGCAAAATATTGAAAAACCAGAGACAACTATTTGTATTTAAACAACTAAACCGTAAAGCACCGGGTATAAATTGCAGGATAAAAACATATGCACATTGTTGAAAATATAAAATCTATTTGTACTCGCTACAAAACGTAGAAAAGCTCGGCGAGCCTCGCTTTTCGTTCAGTTTCTATATCTTGTACAAATAAGAAATATATTTTCCGACAATGTACAGTGGAGATCACTTCTAACCTCTCATCAAATCTATCAGAATCTGTCAGGAGAACTGTTCTAGGACAGTATGTAGAACTGTCATCCTGACACCTTTTAGACAGTTTTAGCTAGAACAGTTCTAACCTAGAACTGAATTGGTCAGTTCTACCTAGAACTGATTTAGACAGTTCTACCTAGAACTGATCCTGACAGTTCTACACTAGAACAGTTTTAGACAGTTCTACCTAGAACTGAACAAATATTTAGTCAGTTCTACGACTAGAACAGTTCTACGGCTAGAACAGTTCTACGACTAGAACAGTTCTACGATTAGAACTGATTTGGTCAGTTCTACGGCTAGAATTGATTTAGTCAGTTCTATCCATAGAACAGTTTTAAGAACTCTTTGTCTTAAATATAAATAAGTCAAAAGAATATAATATATATTAAAAAATTCTCATCACAGCACTGTTTTAACATTTCTCTAACTGCAGTGACGTCATTTAGAACTGTTCTACGGTTAGAACTGATTTAGTCAGTTCTGCTGACAGTTCTACGACTAGAACTGATTTGGACAGTTCTACCTAGAACAGTTTTAGACAGTTCTACCCTAGAACTGATCCTGACAGTTCTACCTAGAACTGATTTGGTCAGTTCTACCTAGAACTGATTCTGACATTTCTACTTAGTACAGTTCTAGGGTAGAACAGTTCTAGAAAGAACTGTTCTAGGACAGTTTAGAACAGTTCTATGACAGATTATTCTGACGGTTCTAATGAGAGGTTAGAAGTGATCTCTCATATTCTAATTAGTAAGCAAACAGAAAGTTACAGGACAGAAAGTCACAAATTTAATTAGACAAAAAGTCACAGGACTGAGAAAGAAAATTCTGTATGTTTTATGGAATCATTGTTTATTTTGATTTACAAATCGCTGTTATTCACCAGAATACCTTTGGCAATTTGATCAATTACGCGTAGAAATTGCAAATCATCTTTTTTCATTACATTTTTGTACAAATTGAACATATAATATGGGTTTGATAGGCACTAACATGACATCTAAAAACAGGTTCATCTTCCTTGTTATTGGAGGCAATTTTACATAATAGTGAAGCATGCAAGCAAGAAATTGTAATACACTCATATTTGTTTTCTTGCTATTAATTCATTTGCCATATATATGGTTAATATTTATATGTTTATATTTTTTTATAGCCACTTATACAAAAATGGTTTTAGAATTTCGAATAACATTTGGCTATGTTAAATAGTTAAATATGAACAAAATACTTGTTTTATCCTTATATTCCATTATAGCCTTTTATGGCATTTATGTTGGCCAGCGTGGTCATTCGACACAATATTCTTAACTAGGTTCTACTCTAACGGAAAGGATGATGGTGGACAAATTTGGTTGCAGTTGACCTGAAAGTTTCAGAGGTAAGATGTTTGTGAAATTAAACAAACGACGTTAAACGATGCGAATGGCTAACACTTGTCCTTCAGAACGGTTTGGGTAAAAATGAAACACATATTAAGTTTTGTAAATCACTTACATATTCTTTTTGATCAAAACCTTTTACGTCTGAATGTTCAGTCGTTCTAAGTTTTGTTGAATCTCCTATTTCATAATATATTCGAATATCATCAAACTCATTAAACTCTTCTTTGTTGTTATGATGCATAGTTTCTCCTTTACTGCGTTGCAAATCCGGAAATTTATCTGATACTTTATCAAGTTGCAAATTATTTCTGATGGATCCCTGTACACTGAGATAATCATGGTTAGAAGATTTGCCCTTTTCATAGCGATCACAAGGCTGTAAATATCCATTAAAATGCTTCTGTTTTCCACAAATATCAGGAGGCAGAGGAAACTCGTCATTGTATGATCTGTTAAGGTATGCACTAAAATTTCTTTCATCGAAACCCATCGTTCTGCCTTGGAGCTCCATTTAAATTCTATTTACTGATTAACTGTTATGCTAGAATTGAAGTATCTTTTAACATATCTATATACATTTTTTAAGTCTTTTGTTTGGTAATAGAAAGAAGATCCAACCGGTTTGAAATGGAGTAGAATAAGATTCATGACTTTGTTAAAGATCTGCATAGATATAGTTCATGGTAAATGCATGCTTTGAATGCATATAAATAGTGACATCATCAAAGGGAATATTATTTTCTGTAATACCATTTGATCAATTGAAGTTCGAATAATAATTAACATTAAATGTACAAAGTGTATAATTTTGTATATCGTGTTATAATGAAAGAAAAATATTCAACTAATCAATCGTTTAAATAAAATGTTCAATTGCGAATGCAATACAATGAAATAAAAATGACACCTCCCTATCTCTGTTGAAGGAATTGTATATGCAGAAAAATCGGTCAATTTTTAAATTTATTTATTTGTAAGTAAAATCTCCCCAAATCGTGGTCAAAAACCTCGCATTTTGTTCGTAGTTCAACAATGTCAATAATTCATACACATAGCCACTTCTGGAATAATTGAGTCATATTCTTTGTATTGTTAATCTTTATTAGTGATGTAATTCTATAAAAACTAATGCTGAATGCAGTTAGCCTTCAATGGTTTTTACTGTAATGCTTATATCCATTTGCATGTGACTAAATTCTTGTGTGTTTCTAGCAAACTATGCAAATACTTCCCAAAAAATTTGTCTTCCCGTGCCCGTTTTCATTTTACATAGAACAATGACGTGATAACATCAGCAATATATGCATAGTTGGAATCAATACATCTTCAGCATCAAACAATCAGCTTCCGAGTTTTTATCTGGGTAGATGGGAACAAATTGAGAAGTCTAGTTTGCAAATCTATTTAAAGCATCTCATTCGCTTAATTCGAACGTGTAAAATTTTTTCAGAAAAAATGTCACGTGATACGAATATTTAAACCTCCAAATTGAAACAACAACTTTCTCGGAACTTTCCTATTATTCAAGAAGCACTAGTCGTACTAATTGAAATCAGTATCAAATGATATTAACAACTTGTATGACTTGTTATATGTAAAAGGTTCAGCTTAAAATTGAAATATTTAAATTGATCTATAGCAAATTAGTTGTGAATAATGTTTTTTTGCCATGGCGTTGTCAGAGTTTGTTTTCGACTTATAAGTTTAAATGTCCCTTTGGTATCTTTCGCCTTTTTTTTGAATCTCTGAATGTACCGAAATCCGTTTCAATTAAAGAGAGATTTGGTATGATTGCCAAAAAGAGACAAAGATCCATCAAATACAATTAGACAAGGATGTGAACAATTATAGATCATCGAATGGAGTTCGACAACGAGAAAAAAAACATACCGTTGAGTAAGCCATCAAAGGGATTCAGAATATCAAAATGTGAAATAGAAGACCAAAGACCGTTAAGAACGACAACCAAAAAATTTTATGCTTGGGATAGTCACATAAGATTCCGGTGGGGTCTCCATGGGATAAATTTCTGCAGTATTACTAGAGAATTCTTCATTAACTAAAGCACAAAATATTATCAAAGAAATGGTAAGTGATACAATTTGTTTCTATTAATGTAATTTAGAAGTATCAGTACTGAGTGACCTAAACTGACTTTATATCAATTTAATATGAATAGCAATAATTATCCACTAAGGTGTGAAAATCAAAAGCAATAATTAATCAATAGAACGACCATTTTATATCTGCATAATCTCTAGATGGTAAAAGTAAATGTTCAGCCTTTATGAATCAATTCAAACGGAAAAGTCAAAGGCCCGATTTATGACATAACAATAAACGAAAAACAAACATGAATGACAGTACCAAATCATATCACTAAACAATAGGCTTCTGGCCTGGGACAGGTATATATAGAATGTTGCTGGTTTAAACCTGTTTGCGAGCGATCATCGATCGCCTTAACTGTGACAGTAGTGTAACAACACATCATAAGAACAAACAATAAACATTATTTGACTCAAATCATCAGATCGACATGAAGCACAAGTACAACTAACATAAAGACAAAATACACAAAGCACCGATCTAAGAAAACTTACAGTTACTGAAGTTCAAAGCTAATAGCACCTAATACACAAATCATTTTCTCCCAGACTTACGTATCAATGAATACACATTCAAAGGATTAAGTGTAAGACGCCATAAACAGTTTGAGAAAAGCATGATCTTTTGCAATGCACAAATATAAGTACATACTAATGACCAGATGTAGGAACATACGTTTTCATAGGTGTATAGCAGTACAAGTTTAGTAATGTTTAAATATCACAAAACAAAATCAATGGTATTAAATTGATATTCTTTAATAATAAGTTTATTAAAAGGTTCAACGAGTTTACAAAGAACATATCTATCTAATTTTGAATCTGCCATTCAACTGTGCACTTCCTGGTCTCATATGTTTTAATATTTATAATATCTATAGACCATAAAAGAAGGTTGTCATAGAAGAATATAGCAATCTTATGTATTAAACGTCAACAGTTCCTAATATCAACAGATTAAACATTTGGAAATGACAAAGCCGAATTCTCGACTAATTGAAGAAACTTATGTAAATCGGTCAGGGAATTCCCTGATTTTACACTAAAACTACCATAAAAACGTGGTAAAACCGGATTTTTAACGGCACAAATCCTGAACTTTTAGAACCTAAATTAATTCACGATATATATCAAGATTCAGACAAGAAAAAAGGTACCGGAGACATACATACATACATACATGTATCAACAAGTTTGGTAAACAAGATATATCCTTAGAACCAATTAAAAAGCAGACCCATGACTAAAACTGATTGACAGGACAGTTAACAGCAGACGTGTACAATGGTCTGGTCTGGTCAAGCTGTCCTGTCCGCAGGTCTAGTCAGGCTGACCTGTCCACAGTCTGGTCAAGCTGACCTGTCCACAGGTCTGGTCTGGTCAAGCTGACCTTTCCTGAGGATATGTCCTCAGGTCTGGTGTGTACAAGCTGACCTGTCCTACCGGAGGACAAATCTGCTTCCTCAGACCTGTCCTCTGGTCTGGTCTACAGCAGTCCCAACAAAACAGGTCTGGTCTGATAAGGATAGAGTTAACTTGTAGGTCTGCTTAGATATCTGAAGATAACTTAGAGAGCAGTAATAAGGACTGTTCTAAGTTAACTGTTGTACAGGTTAGGACTACATCCATCTGTACCCCTACGACACTTACCAAGATGGAAATCCAAAATAAACTTAGGTCTATACTTTGTTCATTTGAAAATTTAACCAAAGAGGAAGAAATGGATCTTCCTTCCCTGTATTGGATACCAAGCATAAGTGTGTCTTTACAAAAAACGTTATATTTCCGGTATTCCAAGTGCTCCACGAAACTTCTTTCTAAAGAAGTAACATCAATTTTATCAACATTTTAAACCGGACTTAAAAGTTATTGTGAAGCTGTCTACGCTAGGGATGGCTTGAATCAGATAATACTAAAAAATTTCCAAAGATATTACATACAATCTAAGTCTGTTTCTTCTTGCAATAGTATTAAAACGTTTTTGTAGCCTTTAAACAAGTCTTCCCTATTTCAAACTAAGAGACAAATTAAAAGAATTTGTTCTTCCTTGTTTCATTAAAAATAATGGCAAACGTAGATACAAGTACCTTGATTTAGGGAGGGATACATTGTACTTTGTAAAAAACACTGTGATTCAATTAAAATTTTCTCTGAAACTGACAGTATCCAGATGCTTGATTTTTTAATGACAACATATTTATCACGTTTGGATGAAACGATTTTCAACAAACTATTGACATTCCGATGGAAACAAACTTTGCTGCTTTACTTTCCGACTTGTTACTTTATTCATATGAGGCTAATTTCATACATGAGCTTCCTAGAAGGAATGAAGAGAAGCTAGCATTATCCTTGAACTTCACGTTTCGCGTTTCACAAAACGTTTGGTGACTATGTTGATTGCATCTATCCCAAACAATTGAAACAGAAACAGCTAAATCTGCCTCACACATTGACTTAATCTAGAAATTGACAATGAGGGTTGGTTGAGAACAAAACTTTACGAAAAAAAAAAAAAAAAAATTCAGCTTCCCGATTGTGAACTTTCCATTTCTATGTAGCAACATTTCCGCAGAGTATATATCTCCCAGTTGATACGATATTCCAGAGCTTAGATTTCCTATCATGATTTCCTTGACAGAGGGTTGCTGCTTACAAGGAAGCTATTAAACCAAAAGTTCCAAGTGATGAAGTTGAAATAGTTCCTTCGAAAATATTAAGTTTGGCATCACGAGTTGGTTGACCGTTATGGAATATCTTTTATACAGATGACGACAGATATGTTCCAAATGTCTTAACCAGTCCCGTCCTCTTCTCCTCAAATGTCACATACAAAATTAGACTCATCACGGGGTTAGCACTTACACGAGCAACACAACGATTGCCACATGTTGAGAAAGATCTGCTTACCCTTTTGGAGCACCTGTGATCACATCCGGTTTTTAATGCGATTCGCGTTTCTCAGTCTTTAGTTTTCTTTGTTGTGGTTTGTGTAATGTTATTTGTCTTTTAATCGGTTTTCTCTTCTTACTTATGAGTTTAAATATCCCTTTGGTATCTTTCGCCTCTCTGATATGCCATTTTCAACAGATTTTTATAGTTTGTTCTTATGTTGTGCTGTTTTACCACTGTCCCAGATTAGGGAGAGGATTGAGCGCCCGAAATATATTACACCCGGTTGCATTGTATATGTGGCTATCCCAAGTTATGAGCCTGAAATTTAGTTGTTGTTGATTGTTGCTTTATGTCATATGTGTTTATAATGGGTCGGCAGGAGCTTGCCTATCATATAATATGAGTTCGAACGGTGAACATAATTTAATGCGATACTGCTAATATCATTATTATAAAAACAAATATTCGAAACATATTGAATACCATGAATTTATTTAATAAATTTACATTGGTTAAAGATACAATGATCAGTGGTTTACAAATAATTAGTAATTAATAATTTATACACTATAAAACCTGCCTGCTTTTTGGTGAAAAAACAGGAAAAAGTCTGAAGATACGATCAAAAGCTAACT